TTACATTTTATTTTAAACTAAAAATAATAATAATAACGTCATACATTTATTTTACATTCATCTAAACTACTTCAAAATATTCTTTTTCCATTAAATTTTTTTATACTATTTCTTTTTAGAACAACCACAGCAGTTAAGTCTCAAATATCTCATTAGAAAAATTTTGAACACAACCAAATTATTTTACATCCAAATTACTACAAGAGCAGTAACACTGCTGCATACAATGGACAGGTTTTAACAACTATATCACATCAATGAAATCATCAATCATCATTCTAACTGCAACAGTGGCCTTGAAATGGTCTATCTTCCTGGATCAAGCTACTGATAGGCGAGATAAGAGAAAACAGATAGATCTGGCTAATGTAATTACATTTTCCTGCAGCAAATTGGGAGGTATATGATGTAGAGGATACAGGATTTCCATATTTCAACTATACAATTGCCGCTGATTGAGAGCCATCCCAACAAAAAGCATATAAACATTCAAGTACAACCACCACGTCAATGAAAGAAGTTCCAATCCAAGACCAATATAACTAAGAGAATTCAATACCCTCCATTATTTGAACTTCAAAAAAGAATTCAATGGCTGTCCTGGTCGCAAATGGCCACTTTTGATCTATTCGACTAAGGATTGAGGAGAAAAATCATAGTTTTCTAGACCCTCTCTGGTTGTGCCCAAGTTTGATAAGATTGGCCCTAAGTAACATTGCTCTAACTTCTCTTTCAAACTCTACACCAGTTTGAAGAGCTCTTTGAAATGTTGAGTTCCTCTGATCAGCATGTCTAGCATAAAGGATTTTGTTCTGCGAGTCGATTCGAGCCTGCGAGATAAGTCGTGATGCAATCACGAAGTTGTAGAGACGAGCAGATGATTTGAAGGTTAGATAGGGAAATTGAAAAGCAGAAGAAAAGTACCTGTATTTGGTTGTCAGCAATCATAGCTTCCAGTTCCTTCTGTAGCCCAGGAACAGTAGTCTTGAAGGCACAGGCCATCGTGGGCAGATCAACGGAAATGAAAGGATGGGTGTACTGAATAATGGCTTTATGGCGAATTTGAGCGTACAATGGCTCAACATGATCGTGCAAATGAATATCCAGGAGAAGATTTGGTTTGAGATTCTCAAGATGATCCAAGCAGGAAGCATACCGGCTGCATAAGATATCAATATAGGAAATGCATTTTAACTAAAAAATCAAGAGCTAGTAAATAAATTTGATCTCTAATCAAGCACATCTGAACACTAAGAGAATTAAGAGGACAGAATAAAAGGTTAGAAGAACTTTAATGACGAAATGATAATTGCATCATCCCGTATGGGTGCATAAAAAATATTAACAATAACAACAACATCAAGCCTTTGTCCCACTACATGAGGTTGGCTACATGAATCCTTTTTCGCCATTGTGTCTGGTTAAAAGTTAAATTGTCATTTAAATCTAATAAAGAAAGTCATTTCTAATATTTTCTAACCAAGTCTTTTTAGGTCTACCTCTACCTTTCTTAACATAAGTCAAATCTAATACCTCAACTTTCCTAACCGGGTCATCGGAAGACCTCCGTTTAATGTGACCAAACCATCTAAGGCTACTCTCTCTAATCTTATCTTCCACTGGAGCTACTCCAACCTTTTCACGTATATGCTTATTTCGTATCCTATCTCTAAGGGTCAAGCCACTCATCTACCTAAGCATCCTCATCTCTGCAACACTTAACTTAGTATTATGCTTCTCTTTTAATGGCCATTCGGCACCATAAAGCATTGCAAGTCTCAACACCATCTTATAGAATTTTCCCTTAAGTTTGAGGGGGACTTTTCTATTGCACAATAAACCTGATGCATTCCTCCACTTCAACCATCCAGCTTGAATTATGCTGATAATATCCCCATCAATTTCACCATCACTCTGAACAATAGATCTAATATATCTAAAACATGTACTCTTATTAATGACTTAATCGCCCAACGTCACAATCCACTCACTAGGTCTATTGCTACTAAAATTACACTCTATATATTCAGTTTTAGATCTACTCCAGCGAAAACCTTTAGACTCTAAGTTGACCTCCATAATTTAAGTTAACCTTCAACTCTTTCTCTAGTCTTATCATCAAGAATAATATCATTAGCAAAAAGCATACGCCAAGGTACATCCTCTTGCAAATGTCTAGTGAGAACATTCAAGACTAAAGCAAAAAGATATGAACTTAAGGCTGATCCTTGATGTAATCAAACTGAAATAGGAAAATACTTGGTCAAACCACCTTGCATTTGAACACAAGTAATAGCTCCTGTATACATATCTTTAATGATTTGAATATAAGCATTATTAACTCATTTCTTTTTAAGAACTCTCCATAGCACTTCTCTTGGAACTTTATCATATGTTTTCTCTAAATCAATAAATATCATATGCAGATCCTCCTTATTCTCTCTATATTTATCCATCAAACCTCTCAATAAATGTATGGCTTCCATAGTAGACATACCCGACATGAATCCAAATTGATTTTGAGTAACATTAGTATCACGCCGCGACCTACGCTCCATCACTCGCTCCCATAATTTTAAAGTATGACACATTAACTTAATCCTCTATAATTTGCACACTCCTGTGCATCACCTTATTCTTAAAAATAGGAATTAAAACACTCATTCTCCACTGATCTGGCATCTTGTTAGTCTTCAAAATAGTATTAAAAAGTTTAGTAAGCCAAGAAATTCCTTCATCTCCTAAGCATTTCCACATATCTATCGGAATATCATCAGGTCCAACAACTTTTACACACTTCATTTTCTTCAAAGCCTCTCTAACTTCGGTTTTACTTATAAGCTGATAAAAACAAAAATCTTTATTTTCATTTAGGGTGATAAAATCACTAAAGTCAATCGTATTACATTCTTCATTAAAAAGTTTAACAAAATACCTCATCCAACTTTGTTGAACATCATCTTTTAAGAAAAAAACTTTTTGATCTTCATCTTTAATACACTTCACTTGAACTAAATCCTTAACTACTCCTATCTCTTTGTTTGACTAACTTATACATATATCATTCTCTCTCTCCTTAGTATCTAATATATTATATAAATCATTAAAAGCTAAGCTCTTTACACGCAAATAGCTTTCTTAGATTCCTTACGAGCCTCTTTATAGCTTTCCCAATTATTAGAATTTTTATATCTAAACAAATTTTTAGTTTTTTACAACAAATCTTTTTATTTTTTATCTTTTCTTACACATTTGGATTCCACCACAAACTATTTTTACTATTATGAGTTTTTCCCTACGAAACTCTAAACACATCTTTTGCAATATTCTTAATGTCACAAGCCACTTTTCCCACATAATATTGGCATCCTCATGCACAGACAGAATCTTAAGATCTAAAATCTTACTCTCAAAAATACTTTTGTTAATATTCTTTAAATACCCTCATCTAATCCAAGAAAAACGTTTTATTTTATTTTTTATTTTTTGCACATTTATCTTAAAGTCCAAAACTAATAAGGGATGTTGGGTACATAAACTTTCACTTGGAATAACTTTACAATCTTTGTAATCTAAATGATCTAATAATCAATCTGCGTTTTACTATATTCATTTTTATAAATGATAAGATGTTCATCTATTTTCTTAAATAAGGTATTAGCTATTAAAAAATCATAAGCTAAAGAAAAATGTAATATAGTCTTACCATCTTCATTTGTTGTTCCAAACCCATGGCCACCATAGATACTTTTAAAATCATCTACCTTTCTACCAACATGTCTAT